GCGAAAACTGAATCACAATTTTGCGAAATTTGTATGCAGCCCGCAGCGTTGTCACTGCAGCCTTGACTCAATTCACCCCAAAAAATCCCACTTTGCATCGTACAAAAAAAAAAACAACTAATAAACAATAAATTGTTGCATAAATCTGTGGCCCGTTTCCTGTGTGAAAAACTTTCACAAGACACATTTTTTGTTTTGTTTTGCCAAAAGGCAAATAATTTATCATAATTGTTATTATGAAGCCCGATGTCGTGTTACACATGCATCAATTTGATGAATTTTCGTTGATTCAGCTTTGAAAATCGTGGGAAGAGAGTCTCTTCGAGAGTCATGGTCATGGCCAAGACAGAGGACGGACTGGGGCCATTGCAATCCAAAGAGTTTGAGTTATTTGTTTGAATATCCGTAATTGATATTCTGTGAAGAAATAAAGATCGTATAATATTAAGAAAAAATTAAATTGTGGCTGTTATTGAATATAAATTCAAATGAATATAGAAAAGGATCTCTGAATTATATCAGATTAGCATTTAAAATGCGCAAAGAAGATTTCTTCTGCATGGCAATTGCCTTTCATGTCGAATAAGATATTTTGATGGATAGAATAGGGCTCAAAATAGGTCTCAAAATAGCTCAAGAATATCCTCCACTAAGCTACTTACTTTTCTAAACTTCTACCCCAAACTATCACTCCATATTCCTCACATAAAAGCAGTAAATATCCCATAAAATATCAAAGCTTTATATCTCTCAAAAGAATTCCTTGAAATATTTCCTATGTCACAGAATTCCCAGGCCAAGACGCTCGTTTGAGTCACTCCGAATACCCCTATATATTGTACGATTATTCAAAGAAATGCTGCTTAAGCCCAAACTTAAATCTCTCAGAGCAGATTATGCAGCCAGTGGCCTATGACATCATGATGTCTTCGAAATAAATTTTGAGTTTTTTGGGTTTTTTTTTTTAGTTTTTGTTTTCTTTTTGGTTGTTTATCAGCAGCCGAGTATCGGTCCAACAGGCGCAGCGGCTTTTTTGAACGCATTTCATTAGCGGGTTTATGGATGTACATATGCATATATATATATATGAATACAGCGTATATACATATATAGCAGATATATGTCTGGTGTCTGGTATATGGTATCTTGTCTGCATTCACAACCGGTGTGTGCTGTGCTGTGCGGTGCTGTGGTGAGGCTTGTCTTCGCACCGGCTTCAGCTTCGGCTTGTCTTTTGTTTGTTTTATATGATGTATACATATACATATATATCTCTCCTTCCACCTCTACATCTTTGCATTTAAATGCATTTTCGTATACATATATATGTACATATATATTACATTTGCTTTACTTTTACTTTCATATGCAACTGGTTGGCGAGTGTCTGCCACATGTTGTTGGTGACTCTCAATGGGGAAGTGTGTTGCATGTGTGTTTGGGATCTCTCTCTTGTTTTTTTTGTCGAGGCGAGTTGCCAAGTCTTGGAGCTGCAATGAAAACTGTTTGTAAAGTGATTGTCAATCATTTTTGGTGGCATGTCGCTTAACCGCTTTGACAATAAATAGTAGCAGCAGCCAGCAACCAGCAACAACAACAACAATGGCAGCTGCTACACATTTTTTCTTGGGTTTGGGCCAACGTCAACGTACGCCATCTGATTTGTACAAGTATTTGCTCAATTAAGCCATTTTAAACTTTATATATTGCAAAAGATACGGGTATAAATGTTTAACTCAAACAAATGTGTGGATGAGGCAATAACTGATGAAGGCAGGGCTATTGGAATTTAAAAAAGTTGGGTGATATATTAAAAAAAAAATCGGAGATCTTTAGATAGCTGAAATTTCTATACAAAATTCTATGATAGATATATTATATAATTGATCCTTAAACACACTCGTTAAGCGGAAATGTTTATGTGATAGAAGAGTCAGAAGACTCTCCTCCTCTGCTAAAAATCTATCCCGAAATACCTTTAAAATTCCTTTGCCCAATTCTATATACCAAAACTCAAACTCCATTAATAATTGCCACCATAAATTGCCACTAAAACTACTTTCAAATACATAAATCTTCGAGTCTTAAACACCTTTTATAATTCACTTATTTATGACCCACCTGCCTTTGATTTATTTGACTTTAATCATCCAATAACCAACAATAAAAGTTATGCCCAAGCCCAAACCAAAAACAAAAACGGAAAACGAAACTCCTAAATATTGACGCAACACTTAGCTGCAGAGCAAAGCAAATTGGTTAAATGCTTTTAATGAACAAATAAGGAAAACTAAACCAATTTAAAACGCGCACTGAAACTTTGTTTTCGGGTATCTTTTGAAACAAAGTTGGATAGTTGGTTTTTTTGTGGGAGATTTCATTCGCTGCCATGGCCTTAATTTTGCCAAACTCTCTTAACTTTTATCATCATGAAATTTTCATGTGTAACGCGAATGAAGACATTACCCCGCCGCCGCAAGTGGAAAAACTTGGCCTCTCTCGTTTCATGTAACACATGCAATGGCATTCGAATAAAACTTCATTTTTAGCGTTTTTATATAATGTTGGAATGAATTTTTCATTCAGTTTTTGATTTGGCATTTTCGCTAATTTCGAATTTCTATGTAGATTATACTCTTAATTTAATCCAATTATAATTAGGTATTTTTGAACAACTTTCGCTGCCTACCCCTCTCGAGCCGCTCGATATTAAGTTGCATGCGAATAACTAAAAAACAAATCACACAAGTATCAGGTTTTCCTTCATCGCCTCTTGTTGGATGGGGGAAGTGGGTGCTTATGTCTGTGGCAAATTGGTTCAAGTCGTTTGCCAAAGGGGATGCCCATGCCCGCTCTAAAATTGGTCACATTTTGTTGGATGCTGTAAGAGTTTTCAGTGCTGGAGGGGTCCTAACCCTTCACTGGCACAAATCAGGTTTGTCTGTAAATCATACTGTCTTTAAGTCTCTTTCTAAGATTTTATCTTGGACTGCAGCATCAAAAATATAATTTGGAATTGCTTTTTGGGGTAAAATAAAGCAAATATTTTGTAGTTTTTAATTGATTTCTCTTGGGTTGCAGGCAGGGGCTATTTATTTTTGGACAGTGCTCTCTGGTTTCTTTTTTGTTTGGGAGAAGAGTAAAAACTTTCCAAGATACTGGGCAATCATTTGTGGTTGTTCTAATATTGGTTAAGAGTTAGTGAATGTTTGCTCCCCCAGCAAAGTATCTTAATCCCTATTTAAATCGTAGAGAGATCTTCAATTGCATATCTAAGCATCCATTTGATATCTATTACGCTTCGTTACTGCACTTCTTTGTGGCTGCTTCTTTTCTGCCAAACTTAAATATTGCTCCATTCAAAATATGGCAGTGCATAAACTCAAGTTGCAATATTATTATTATCTCTTTTATTTGTAGTGCTTTTTTTGTATATTATTCTGTGGCAGCAGCAGCAGCAGCTGCGATAAGGCCCAAACAAACAAAAGCACACAAAACCAGAGACAATGCAACAGTGGCGGCGGCGGCACTGTTTGTGCAACACCAAAAGCGCATTCATTTCTGAATCGGATTTTTTTGTTTTGTTTTGGTTGCATTTTAATGTATGCAACCACAGGGGGAGGGCAGCAGTATGAGTACGAGTCTAACAAAGGTAACAAAAACAGACCCAACAGACACTACACTCCAATGTTTGCACATTTGATACTCGTATCTTTTGACGTGAGTCGGATTTTGTGAGTTCTTTGAGCACACATTTCTTTTGACTGATGGAATATGGAATATTCCATATGGAATATTGGTTAACCAATATCTGACTGTCAGCCTGCCAGCATGCTAGCCTGCCCCTTTGGCCATTGATGTGTGCTGACGGTTTCTGGGCGCGTCGCATCGCGCTCTTCGATGAGGCATTGGATTGATATTTGCATTGATGGCATTTGATGGCTGGCCTGGCGGTTTGATCAGCGGAATTATTATTTTGGGAGCAGCAGCAGCAGCAGCAGCAAAAAAACCTTGGGAATTCTCTGGGATTTTGGTTATGTGGGTTCGTTGGATAGGAAGTGGTATTTCTTGTTGAATGTATTTTAAAGATTTGTATCTATGATTTGGGTTGGGTTCTGTTGGATGCACTGCCTTAAGCTTTTATATCCCAGATAAACAATTTCCAAAATGTGATGCTCCTAAGTAGCCCTGAATCTTAAGTACTGTACTCCCTCTGCATTCATTCCAAATGACATCAGTGATCTTTGAAGTGAGACCCCAACCCCAACCCCAACAAACAAAGAAGTAGAAGAAACCGAAACTGTAGGCGTAATCGTAGCAATGAATGCCAGCCGTTGACTTGGGGCTTTTTCCAATGAGATTGAGTCTTTTTCCCTCCCCAGCCCCCGCACAGCAATTGGTCAGGCAATTGACAATTGCAAGATCTGGAACCCCAAAAGAGTTGCCTTGCCAAAAACCATAGTCAGAGTTTTGTCTGCATCATGGTCGTCGTCTGTCTTCTAGCGAGAGAGAGAGAGAGAGGAAGGTGGTACACCCACAGATGTCAGACCAACAGGCACACCTGATGAGAGTGGGTGAGAGAGAGAGAGAGAGCGCTCAACTATTATGTCAAGCGAAGCTTACGCTCTTTTACCTGTGGAGAGGGCCATATACCTGTTGATCTTCCTCTCTCGTAGCTGTGGCCTGTTAATCTCTCTCCCTCATAGGCATACCTGTTGATCTCTCTCTCTCTCGTAGTCATACCTGTTGATCTCTCTCTGCCTTATAGCCTCTCTGACTCTCTTTCGCTTTGCTCAGCTGAGCTGAAACTCAACACGGCTATTACCAGTTACCTGTTTGGGCGGTTGGCCCTCCTTCTGCAGACATCTAAACGTGGTCTACACTGCTGTGGTGGAATACCAAAATCACGCTACCATCCCATATCCATGCCAGCGGAGAGATCAGTTGGTGGACGTGCTTCAGACGGAGCGGTTTTGGCCCCGGTGCGAAAGCGTATACAAAAAATATCTCTAACTCTCGGTCTGTGTGTGCGTTTCAATCTCCCCCTCTCTTCCTGTCCCTGTGTGTTGCTCTCTCTCTCTCTCTGTCTGCGTCTATAAACGTGGCCAGATAACAGATAACCTTTTGCCGGTTTGGTGCTAATCTTCAGTTCAAGTGATATTTCATTGGATATTTTTTCACCGATTTATGCTAATCTTTTGCGGCTTTCTTATTGAACAAACAACAAAAAGGCTGGCCTGCTGGCCACTCGACAAATACAAGTGAAATGTTCAGAGGGGGGGGAGGAGGGAAAGGCAACATCGATGGACAGTAAAAAAAATTCCATTTAAAATACCAAAAACAAGTTTTCTCTCTTTCTCTCGCCATGCTATCAACCTCTCTTTCTCGCTACGATCTTACCATCCCCTCTCTTTCTTAACGATCTCTCCCTCCCTCTTTTTCCTTCCCCCTCTTATTTGCTTTTGTTGTTTGCTTTATTTTTTTGTTTGCCATTTCTACATAAAAGGAGTGAGAGTGAAATGTGAAATGTCAGTGCACACACAAACACACACAGACCCAGACAACCCCAATAACTTTTACAATGACATCATTTGTTTAAGCAGCAAAAACAAAAACTATAACAAATAGCTATAGATATGGTAGCGTAGCAATTGGCAGCCTGTGTCTCAGAACCCGCCTTCTGTCTAATTGCAGCTTTGCAGCTAACTTGGCCAAAAAGGCATTGGAGTGCATTCTGCGGCTTGCAGCCGTTTTCCCAGTTGCTGCTGGCTGCTGCTGGCTGCTGCTGAAAACCGGTTCAAATATTTTCGCTATTGCAATTTGGGTCTTAAGTTTTTTTTTTTCGTTGTTGTTTAAAGCCAATTGCATGAGCATAGTTTCCTTGGCAATTTAGTTGGCTTTTGTCTATCTTAGGGTTTCTTGGGTTATTTGCCTAGTTTTCTGTGGTCTTTTTGCACAGTTTTTGAAGTTGGTGAGAAACAAATATTATGGCCACAAATTAAAGATATTTATGGGTTTGCCCTTGTCTTACCATTGTTTCGAGAGCTGTAAATCCATCTTAAATATGTTAAATAGGTTTAAATATTCTCAGGTCAGTTCATCCATCAACTACAGTTTTCAAGACACTTATGGTATATCTTTGAATGGAAATATATGCACAAAGAAAGGTTTAGCTTCTGCAACAAACAAGAGACTTGGAACACAAACTTGTTTGAGAAATAGAATAAGTTATGAGAGGACTTTGGATGGATATCGAGTATTATTTTTGGCTCTACTATCACTTTATTCAATGATGACTAAACCCAAAATTCGTTTGAAAACTCAAACAATTTCCAAGAGACTTTAACCAAATATTTGCAATAATCATTAATTACTTTGTAATGGCTGGCAAATGACTAGAGTCTAGAGTCTGACTATTCCTTTGAAGTATAGTCATAGTATTTGCTTAGCAAACAGTACAGGAAAACTGAAATATCATTGTAAAGAAATTTCCAAAGGTTCCCCCATTTTTCACCTGTTGAATATTTTTGCAACTTTCGAAGTAATACCAAGTATTAACCCAAATGTGAGCGCCAAACAAATCACCCAACAAATTGACTGACAAAATATAGCACTTGACATAGCCCACAAAAAATCATTATTCAAGCCGACTTTCAAACGGAAATGACAGCATTTTGGGGGGGTTACCAAATCCCACAGAAACCGCTACAAAATAAACGCCGTGTAAAGCAAAACAAAAAAAAACCGCGAAAAAACGCATATATAAAACAAAAGAAAACCAAACCAACAAAAAATCCAATGAGTGCCCTAAAGTTAATGATTGAGACCTTTCAGCAACTAAAAAGCAGATTATAATACTTATTGCAAATTTCATTTTTTATAGAAAATCATTAAAAATTAACAATAAAAAATAAAAATATAAAACAAGTGCAAACGTGTGAAAAAAATAAAAGTTGAAAAAATGCAAACGTGTAGAAGAAGAAAAGCCGGAGGCGATACGGCCACGATCTTGTGGCGGAGACTGTGTTTGGCCAGTCTCTTGGGATTATTGCTGGTTGGCATTCAAATTGAGCATGCGGCGTCTGCGCCTGCAGGCGTGGATGATGCAGCAGCCACAACGACCATGCCACCTATACCACCTATGGATGCCACAACAGTCTCTACCACAGTAGAAACAACAATTGGCGTAGAACAAAGCAGCATCAACAGCACCAGCACCAGCACCAGTACGAGCAGTACAACTGAGGAAACGGATAGTTCAACGACTTCAAGCACTACAGAAACGTCCAACAAATTGAATGCGGCCGAAGCTGGTGAGTTATACAAAAGCCAAAAGCCATGAAAATTATAGATGCCGGCAAGACACAGCGACGACGACGATGGCGATGACGTTGTCTAGGCCTCCAGATCGTTCGCCAGACACTTTAATCTCACCTTACTTACGGCTCTGCGGACTGACTCTCTCAGACTCTAACTCTGGGCCGTAATCAAATTTCGTTCTCTGAGCCACCAATTAACGGCCAGGCCTCCTCACATCGTGAGCCAGTGCGTGTCTTGGGTGTGTGCTGCTGGCTGGCCCGGCCCGGCCCTGCCCTGCCACCAATTTCGTTTCGATCTGTAAGACATTTCTCCATAATTATTTTTGATTCGCTTAAATGGAGCGAACCAAAAGAAATTTTTGTGTTGCTTTGGGATTAATCATTGGTAGAATATTTGTATTTTGTGGCTACAACAAGTTGTTTCCTGTTGAATTACTTAGTTAATTGTGCGGCATATCAAAGGGAAATTTTTTGAGAAAATCTGAACATCATTTGACCTGAAGCTAAAAGGCAGAGATTTCCAGTTTGCTGAAGCTTGAAATGGGAAAGTATCATAATAATAATTTAAGTATTGCTTGAGAGAGAGAGAGAAAATTAACTTTTAATGTGTGTATATAACCGAAGGGAATACCGAGTCTGAAGAGTGTTGGTCTACAACATTCCAACACGTATTACATCTTCAGAAGATAAAAGAACTTTTCTCTAGTTAATCAATCATTTATATTTATATTTTAAATATTAGAAAATATGAATAGATAATTGCGGCCACATGTATAACTTTAGACCCAAGAAAAGGTTTCATTTAAAAATTTATAACAAAACAAAAAACTGATTAAAATTAATTCAAAGCCAAGAAAAGTTATTCAAAAATGGATTAGAGTAGAAAATTGATTTCTAATGGGACACATTCCAACACGTTTTGAGTTAATCATTTAAGCCAAGAACTTTTCCAGATCAAAAGTGAAAGGCTCCATTCCTCTGAGTACTCTCAGTATACATATCTTCTAAGCCAATCAAGTTTTTCTTATACAGAAAATGAGGTTACCAGTTTAATTGTTTCGGTTCTTTGTGGCCACCATGTTATAATTAGCTTGAGTGTAGTTTTTTTTTCGGTTTAATGTCAGATGCACATCAAAAGCATCACGTGGAGAACGTTGACATGGCTCATAAAAAAAAACTTCAATTTGTTGTATTTTTTCCATTGTTGTTTTAGGGTTTCTTACTTCTCATCTTGTTGGTCCATTGATGACTCGATAAAATGAGGCCGAAGAGGTGGCCCACACACAGCTATCAGATCTGTTTCGGCTTAGAAAAGTGGAAACACTCGATGGGCTGCGAGCCCCAAATGCCAAGGGAATAGTTAATAAGATTTTGGGGCTAGACCTACACAAATTACTCAATTTATATGCAAATTAGGGAATTGCACTGACTCATGATCTTAACCTACGTGCAATCCAAAAATTCGTTGTATTTTAGCTTCAGGGATTTTTGGGAGTGGAATGTCTTTATCGTGGGGGTTAATTATAAAAAGATGTACCCAAAAAAAATTAACAAAAAAAATATATTCAGCAATTAGTCATTTGGTTTTTGGGTTTGTAACACCCACAAACTATGCAAAGACACACCACACCTGACGATCCGCCTCGGGATGTTCCATTGATCTTCCCCCTGCCCTGCCGAAGAGAGTGGCTTCATTAATTAGTCAGAAAGTGGGCAGCCAGCCATCAGATTAAGGTCTTACGTTATGTAAATATACAGAAACATTTACAAATCAATTATTGAGCAAGACTTTGGACAGTTGCAAAACGGGTTTGTGTGTTATAGTTACAGCCAATGGAGACAAGTATTTAAAGTGTCAATGGATCAAGCAATTATATGCATTAATATAACATATATATTCTATATATAAAAGCTGTCTGTCGGAATGATTCATCCACGCACAGCCGTCAGCCCAAGCGGATATGCTATCAAGAAATCTCCATTTTTGTCTCTGAGTGTAGGCGAACACACAAAAAAAGAAACTTTGAACTTCAAATAGCTCCTGTGGCCATCAAGAACCAGCCATAGAGTTTAAGCCAGCAATTCATACATAAATAAAATCTATAAAATTGCATTGAATATTTTTCAATATTTTCCAATCAAACTGCTGCGTGGTTTTTCATGGATTTTCCCCCAGTTAGTGCTAACTTAAAGCTATTAGCAATGTTTTTTCCACTGTTTGACAGACAGCAGCCAACTAGTTTGTAAAATACAAAAAAAACCCCAAAGCCGAAACCAGAGGCCAGTAAATTGTTTGCTAACTAAGGAAAATCGACACATAGCCCGTACCGAGCGAGCGACTTTAATGAGTTGGAAAATTGCAGAGCACGGCGGCTGGTGTACTTGAAAGTCGAGTATATAAATCATTTATGTTAATTTTCCGCTGTACTGTGCGGTTATTCCCAATCGATCATTGAGTGCAAAAATTATGGCCTTCCATTGAAACAAATTCCTATTGAGCAATTTTCAATGCGTTGGCAAGTCAATGCAAGTCAGGGCCCTGCATTCGATATGGTGTTGCCAAAAATAAATACAAGCAAGGTCTCTCTCACTTGCACAATACATATACTTATTTATATAAAAAAGACGAGACTGAACGACCTCAATTACCAGATTTACTTTCTTCAAGGGAAAACCTGCAGCCCAGCCGTACAACTTCGCAGAAAAAATTATCATAAATTATAAACGAAAAGTGCTGAGGTGACCTGCTATTATGTGGACCTATGTACCTGCTGATTGTTTATTATTTTTACAAATCATAGCAAAAGGGAAATTTACATATTTGTGGCACGATAGTCGTGAATTTTGAGAGAGGAAGTTGAGTTGGAGTCAACATTCAAGCGAAAACATCAAGTTTTGCATGAATGAAATATGCCCCAAGTTGCCATGGAGATGATGTCCCCTCCTCAAGTTTGTTGCCTCAGTCTTTTGTTTGTGCATGGACTCCCATGGGAGTTCTCGCTCTGCCTCTCCATCTCCATCTTTTTGTTGATTTTTTGTGTGTTGTTTTTTTGATGTTTATTTTCTGTCTGCGTCACTGAGAAATTCTGCAGAAAAAGCCAGGCAGGCAAGCAGGCAGACAAGACTTTTGTTTTCGTCGGAGTTTTCAAGGATACAAGTTTTGTGTTGTCAGAGTACAGAGTGTGAGAAATATGCCAGAGATATATGCCCTCTGTAGAGGGTGTGGCCGGGCCCCAGTGTATTCGGTGCGTGTCTCGTCGTACCTTTCGCTATGGCGGGGTTCATGCTCGATTAGCTGGCGAAAATTGTTTGTCTGGCGATCCGCTATAATGAACCGATAAGTAAAAGTAGCTTAAAAAAGCAAGAGAGACTTTTCAACAAGCTACACAACAAATTTCCAAATGTGTGGAGTGACACCAACACCTGAAAACTGTTGTTAATTGTTGGCCGTTATTATTATTATTATAACTATTATTATTATGGCGTTGTACTCCACACACACAAACACACACACAGCATCGTTAGAGAGGTTGAAAGAGATGCGTGAAAGTGCAGACAGAGTCAACAATTAACATTTTGGCCATAAATATGGCTTACAGATACTTCGAACTTTAGTGTCAAAATACAAAGACAAAAAAAAATGTGAACTTTGAGTGGGCTTACCATGGCACCATGGATTGGCTTTGGCTTTGGGTGCTTTCTCCCAATCGCACAGCATTAAAGAAACTCTTCAAATTCGAATAGAACCAAACGGGTTACACAAGTGAAAACCTGCCCACCGGCCTCAGTCTAAATCTCATTCGTATTTATGTCAGGGGCGCAAATCAAAATGCATAAATAAGCTAAGGAAAATTAAGTATAATTTAAACTCGTTTGAAATATGCATTAAGCAATGGCATCAATTCCACTTAGAGCACAGACTTATCATGCAATTCCTCTGCCACCTCCTCTGCAGCTCTCTGCAGCTCTCGCGGGGTCTAGACATGCGTCTTTGGCTGTCTTGCATTTTTTTGAATTAGATAATTTTTCATACTATATACATATATATAATGTTGTTTTTTTTCTCATACGAGTGGGAAAAATGTAGCACAGAAAGCCAATGTGCGGCTAATTAATGCATTTTAATTGCACATACTTTTGTGGCTTAGTGTTTGCGGGTGTGTGTGTGTGTGTGTGTGTATACTGCTGCAATTAAGTGTGTCATTGAACGGTGCAAAGATACAGATACTGAGGAGTCGGCAAGAGAACGTCAGACAGGAAGTGCCGCGCCAGGCTTCAACTGGGAGAAAGATAATTAAGAATAAACATTAATTTAATTATATGTTATGAATATTTTTCCACTGTTACTCGTAGGTGATTTGAGACTTATACGAGTATGAATGGGTAGGAAATATCTGTTATATAATGATAGGGTACAGAGTTAGAGGAATCGGAAGGAAATCGTTTTGGTTTATGCATTTAAAGAACATTTAAACTAGTTCGACTGCGTCTAAGAACGGTTTTTATTTGTGCTTTTTTCTTATTTAGCTTGGGAATTAAACGGTTAATATTTATATGGCTGCATCGAGGCATATTCTTAGTCTTTAAAAGTGTTAATTTCCATGGATATATATCTATATATTAATGGGAAATAGCAAGCTAAAGATGTAGTTCATTTTAGGTCGCTTTTGAAATATTTCGGTGATGATAATTTGACGAACGTTTCCCCCATGCCTTTGCTCATTACTAATGCGCTTAGCTTTTGCTTACTTTATTCCATTGATAGCCCCTATTTTGTCTATACACAACATTCCCTTTCTACCCCATGTTTTGCTTGCCCGTGCCATTCAATTGACCTTCAATTTGCAAACGCACTTGCCGCTTGCCACCACAAAAGTTACAGAGCAGAGCAGAGCAAGTCAGCTCAGCTCAGCTTGTCAGCAAAAACCTCTCACATGGCTAACTCCAATTCCAATTCCAATTCGATTTCATGGCCGGCCAAACAACTCGCATTC